GGGAGAGGTTGAGAAGGAAAGTGGTAACCTCAGCTTGTGTGGGAAGTGAATCCGCACCATTGGTATCACTCTGCATCACAAAGCAGCTTATGCAGCCAACTGAGCTAACCAGGAAGACAGGAAACAGACATTTCTCTAGGCCATGGTATTCAGTGCCCTATCATTTTAACAGAAACAAGATTTAAAAACGGATGTGTTATCAGATATGTTGATACATACAAGGAATGGGAACAAGAGAGAATTGACAAGATGAAGCGGCTTATAGGCCAGTCAGTTTAACTTCGGTGGTAGGGCAGCTTCGAGAAACAATAATTTGCTTACAACGAATGATTAGAATTAGTTGTCACATGAAAAAAGGTGGGTTGATTAGGAAGAGTCTGTATGGATTTCTAAAGGGAAATCATGTTTAACGCACTTGTTGGAGTTTTTTTGAAGAGGGAACAGAAAGGGTCAATAAAGGTAATGCTATTGATGTGAAATGGACTTTCAGATGGGGTCTGATGGAGTTGCAAACAACAGACCTGTGAGGAAACCTATAAGTCATGGTATAAAAGGGACAGTAGCAAAATTGACTGAGTGATATGAAACAGAGAGTAATGGCAATGGATATTTTTCAGGCAGGAGAAAGGTTTGTAATGGAGCTCCGGAGAGGTTGGCATTGGGACCCTTGCTCTCCTGATATATATTAATGATCTGAATCTTGGTGTGCAGGCGACAGTTTGCAGACAATATGAAACTTGAAAAAATTGTATACTTGAGGAGTACAGTGTGGAACTACAGTGTGGATGGGTGGATAGATGGCAGATAAGATTCAATGTAGAGGAGTGTGAGGTAGTTGGAAGAATGTTGAAAGACAATGTGAAATAGTAGGGGTAGAATTCTAAAAGGACTGCAGTATCAGAGGGACCTGGGTATATATGTGCACAGATCAGTGAAGGTGGCAGGACAAGTAGAGAGCGCAGTTAATAAAGCATAAAGTGACCTCAGCTTTACTAATAGGGGCATAGAGTATAAGAGGAAGAGGATGACGTTGAACTTATACAAGATACATCATAGAGCTCAGCTGGAGTAAAATGTAGACTCTAAGCACCACATTATGGGAAAGTTGTAAATCCATTGGACAAAGGACAGAAGTGTAGTACAAGAATGGTCCTAGTGGTGAGGAACTTTAGTTATGAGGATCGATTGAAGAAGTTGGGATTATTCTCCTTGGAGAGAAGCAGATTGAGAAGAGATCCGATTGAGGTTTGCAAAATTATGAGTGGACTGGACAGAGCAGATGGTGGGAAGCCATTCCCACCTGTAAAAGAATGAGAGGGCATAGATTAAAAGTGAAAACAAAAAAAATGCTGGAGATCACAGCGGGTCAGGCAGTGACGTCTTCACCAGGATCATCTAGACTCAAAATGTTAACTTGCTCTCTCTCCATGGACGCTGCCTGACCCGTTGTGATCTCCAGCATTTTTTTGTTTTTAGTTCAGATTCCAGCATCTGCAGTAATTTACCCCTATGTAGATTGAAAGAGATGCGCAAAAGAACCAAGGGTGATGTGAGAAAAAAATACTCTTTCCAACAGCAAGTAGTTAAGGTATGCAAGGGTCTTTTGGAAATGCATTGGAGGCAGGTTCGGTTGAGGCATTCAAGAGAGCATTGGACAATTATTTAAATAGAAATGGTGTGCAGGGACTTGGGGAGAAAGTAAGTGATTGGAATTGGGTAATAATGCTCATTTGAAGAATCAGTGCTGGCTTAATGGGCCAAATGGCCTCCTTCTGTGCTATATTGATTCAGTGATTCAGTTTCTTACAGGCTGGGGCATCTTCCAGTGGGGAGGCAATGGCCTAGTGGTATTATCGCTGGACTGTTAATCTACAGACCTGGATAACATTCTGGGAACTTGGGTCCAAATCCCGCCATGGCAGATGATGGAATTTGAATCCAATAAAAATATTTGGAATTAAGAATCTAATGATGGCCGCGAATCCACTGTCGAATCCATCTGGTTCACTAACGTCCCTAAGGGAAGGAAACTGCCATCCTTACCTGGTCTGGCCTACGTGTGACTCCAGACCCCCAGCAATATGGTTGACTCTGGGCAATTAGGGATGGACAATAAATGCTGCCCTAGCCAGCGACGTCCTCGTCCCTTTAACAAATAAAGGGGAAAAAAAATCAGAGCAGGATAACGGTATGTATGTAATTGAGTTTCTCCTTCAAAGCCAAGCCATTTATCCTTTTTTTTTGCTATTTCACTATAAATTTCCATTTCTATATTCACATTTGAAATTGCCTGTCAAAAAAATTGCCTGTACATTTTGAACATATATATATTAAGAGACTTTATACAGAGATTCATATGCAAATAAAGAGATGTATTTGGAAACTAAAATTCTTGACCATTAATTTTAGAAAACTGCATAGACACAATCACAAAAGAAAATGTCATCACTTTATACTCACGATACCCATCTTTACTGAAGATAGTTCCAAATATTTTCTCACACTCTGTGAACCAACACAGGATCACAGAAGAACAATCTGCAAAAAAGTCTAAATAATGCTTAAGCTCACACTATTGGGATATATGTACAACATTGGAGTGTAAGGTTTCACAAGATCTAGAGGTTTACCAAGGGATCACTGATCCAGTCATGTGACTGCGCTGCTTTTATCTAAGTATTAATCCTCTTCAAATTCTCTCCAACTCTCCATCGGAAGAAAAAACATGGCAAACGACAGGCAAAAGGTTGTCCTGATTACTGGATGCTCCTCTGGAATTGGTTTAAAGCTTGCTATCCATCTTGCAAACGATACCACGAAACAATTTTATGGTAGGTGTTCTGTTTACTAGGTGCTAACTCAAAGGAAATAATTTAGTAATACCTGAATATGGGTGCCTCATGTCAATCTTTGCAAGGGCACTTAGGAATGGACAGCTAGTGTTAGCCTTACTTGTGACGTTCACCTCCCAGGGACAAATAAGAACAAAACATTGGTAACATGGCTGCTTAAGTGCATTAACTAAACAGACGTTTTTTAAACCAGAAAAAATATATAGGAATTACATCTTCATCTTTTGCCTTAATATATTTTGTGACATCTTTGCTCCGGAATGATGTTCCAAAAGAATTAATTGTAATTCATCACAAACGCCGGGTCTAATGTTCCAGGGGCAAGCACAAATCCTACTAAATATAATGAAGAATTTCGATTGAGTTATTTGGTTTTGAAAAAACGGAGTAGTGACCATTAAACTACGGGATTATTACAGAAGCCTGTTCTGGGTCTTTCATGTCCCTTTTCAGAAGACAATCTACTGTCCTTACCTAGTTTAGCTGACATGCATTTCTAGACCTACAGCAATGCACTTAACTCTTAATTTTACCACTTCTTACTCATTCACAAGATATCGGCATTGCTGTCTGGGCTAGCATTTGTTTCCCATCCCCTACTGCCTTGATAAGGTGGTACTGAGCTGCCTTCTTCATCCATCAGAGTCTGGAATGCTGTTAGAAGGGAATGCACAGTTTTGACTCAGGATGGAAACTCATGATCTCATTCTCAGGAGTAATAAGTGCTAGTGACACCCACACTCATGACTGAATAATAGAAAGTGACCAATATTTTCAGGATCTACATCATAATTAAATTTCTCTTAGCATCACAGGTATATCCAATTCTGAATTTAATTGTAACAATTCATAAACTAGATTAGTTTGCAAATTGCTACAAATATAGGAATGTAGGGATAGCATATTGTTTTCAATGTATTATCTGAGCTTCTTCACTCAATTGGTGCACTATAAAGACTCCCAGGTAATTAATAATCGCTACATAAAAGTGCACATTTTTGCACATTCATATGCAGAACATTATTATACGAAAATGTGCCAAAGGTTTTGAATGGTCACTTTTGTCAGTAAAACTATAATTTTACATTTTAACTGCTATCAATTTTTTAGTTAAAACTGATAATCCATTTCTACTTCATTTTCTGAATTTATTTGAAAGCTTGCTGATGTGCATGAGTAACCTGAGCAGTGAAAAGATTTCTTTTTTTGTTGTCAGAAATTAGCATGATTCCCACCTGGATCAAAAACTGAGCCTGTGATATTTATGTGCTCACCTACTCCATTCTGTATTTGTGCAACCTTTGTGAGACAGACAGGCAATCACAAGCAGTTTCAAACATAGTGATAAATTGCAACGCACAGACAAATTACATCCTCAAATAATATGGAATTTAAAAAAGGTATTCATTGCCATTGAGCTGAACTCTTCAAGAAATTAGAATTCTACTCTGACTCATTTGGGGAATATATCAGCAGCTACAAATACCTGAATCAAAGACTTTGCAATAAATTAATATATTCTGTAAATTAGATTTAGAAGTATAAAACTGCCCCTTATCACAACAGCTTGAAAACAATTTTCAACTTCCAACACCTGACTTTAAATACTTCAGACTGTTCATGGATTGAAATGGTTTTTAAAGGACAAACATTGATCTGAAATGACAGTCACAATCACCTGACTACAGTTTGAGGCGTGTTCAGGAAACCAACGAAGAATAAACAAATCCATCTGAACAGAAATGACCATATTATCTAAAGATATTGAACACAGTCACGGAGTCAGGCTTCAATAAAGTGGCATCTTCCATTTCAATTTGCATGTGCTGGGGCACACATTGGATTGTGAAGGTTTGCTTGCAGATTATCCAGCTTGCATGAAAGCAATAATGCCAGACTTGGACAAAAAAAACCTGAAAGAACTGTGGATGCTGTAAATCAGGAACAAAAACAGAAGTTGCTGGAAAAGCTCAGCAGGCCTGGCAGCATCTGTGAAGGCAAAAACAGGGTTAACGTTTCAGGTCCAGTGACCCTTCCTCAGAACAGAATGCTAGACTTGGAAATGTATAAAGGGCCCAGTGAAAAAGCAAATTGAAGAAGCAACGATTCACTGAGAACTCAAAAGATATCTGAGAATACACTACTGCTGAGGATACAAGTCAACTATTGAAAAACAACTCTAGTCTCAGTTTATAATCTAGCACTTTAAGGATTCTAAGGACTCTTAAACCGTGTAGCCTTTATTCTTCCTCTCTGTACAAGACCATCTCTCTCCTTTTAAAACTTTACAGTTGCTTTCGTATGTTTGATGTTACTTTTTATAATTTTTCTTGGGGTTAGTGAGTAATAAAATTCAGCTTTCTTTCACTCAAGAAGATCTTATAATTGGCTTTTTAATATTGAGTAATCCTAAATTTTTTAACTGAGGTGTGAGATACCTGCTTGCTAATTAGAATTAAAAGAAGTTTGCTACAACTGACCTAGATGGTTAAAAAGAGATCAAATTTACACTGGTGCTAAGATTTTCAGCAAACGTTTTGTCATTATTTTCTCGTGTAAATAAAGTTCCTGGACAGGTGCAGACAAATTTACTGTGAAATAAATTACTTATAACATGGTCTAAAAAAACCTGTGAACTGGTAACGACTCTTGACTTCTACTGGACCCATCCAGCAAATTTTTACCTTCTTTATCTATCTCTTAACATTCCACTGTAACAGCAAAATTCTTGTGTTGTTAATTAAGAAAGTCTTGCTGTTATTCAAACTGCCTTGTTTATTTCAAACACACAGTATACTCACCGCAAACATGAAACTAAGAACTGATTATCCTTAAGAGGATTTGTCTCTTTACATAAAGATATGATGCTCTTGCACTGAAGGCAAATCTTTTGATTGTGATTAATGTACAGGAACCCTCAGCCCTAGAATTAAGCCTGAGCGATGCAGTTGCAGAGAACCATGTAAACATAAAGTAGAGATAATAACCATTCAGCTCATCAGTGTCAGCAAAAAAAAGTCTAATGTCACATTTCATTTCTAATACTACTTCCTGATGATATTCTGCCAGTATTGACACATTGAAGCCAAACAATTCATAACATTCTAAAACACACAACATTCAAAATCAAACGTTCAAGAAATAATGAATTGATCTATCTCCCTAAGCTAATAGACCATTTAAGAATTCCAGGATCCACAACCATATCTTTGTCTAATTCTAATCTGTTCTTACTTGGGCTGTACCTTATTTGAGTCCCAAGGTTCATTGAAACCCTTCAATGACTGAGATAAAAGTAACGCTCAAACTGTCAGCAAATCGGGGGAAGTGTCAATGTTCCTGTCTGACAAACTTAATATACTTTTAATTCACATAATGTAACATTAAAGCAAACATGAACATCAACATTTAAGGCCCTTGCTGTAAACAGAAATCCAAAACCATATCTGAGCATATTTTAACGAAAAATGTACAACAGTTCAATCCATCATTTTTCTCCTCATTCTGTGTATTTATACTGGATTAGTACTACCTGTGGGCTGAAATTTTATACCCCATGCTGGGTGTGGCCTAGCAGGATGGGCGAAATCAGATACAATGGCATGGGCAAGGTGCTATTGCCTACACACCTCCACTGGATTTTACCACCAGAGAAGGCAGGAGGTTGGGTGGGGGGGTGGTGGAAGGGGGTGGCGCACGTGGATATGTCAGGCATCCCACTAGCCTCTGGGCCAATTGAGACCCTAAGTGTCAAAAGATGAACATTTAAGGGCATCCTGCAGGCACTGTTATTTTATCCAGTGGTGGACAGCGACCTGTGGCAAGTTCACCAGTATATGTGGGTTTGGCAGGGGCCTGGGGAGAGACCGTCCATACTGGCTCACTCCCTTCTTGCTTCCCACTCCCTGCAAGCTGTCTATGCCAGCTGGAGAAACACGAGGGAGAGAGGAATGGAAGGATACACCAATATCGGGAGATGCTGTAGATTAGGAGGTGGCTCACATGAAGCAGAAACATCAGCGTTGGCCAATGGGCTGAATGGCCCGTTTGTGCTGTGAAGTTCTGTAATTTTGCTTGAGTCTATGCATTGAACCACATAATAGTTTTAATTACTGAGGAAACAAAAAATCCTGCAAGCAACATCTCTTTCCAAAAATAATTGTAACTAACCACAAGATCATGTAGTGCCATGTTGTTAGACGAGTCATCACACAGCATTATAGTGTGCTTTTATTAACATCGAAGTAAAAGCTACAAGTAGTAATTGACATTTGGATCTGGACTATAAACGTTTGCACTGTAGGACTAATTGAATAGCTCTATCACACCAGGGCTCTGTGTGGCCTCTCAGTTGGGTGTGAAAGATCCCATAGTTCTATTCAAAGAGGAGCAAGAAAGTTCTCCAGTGTCCATCAATATTATCCCTCAGCTAATCCCTGGCAGCACTTGTGGACAGAAAACAGAGTTAACGTTTCAAGTCCAGTAATCATGTTCTGAGGAAGCGTCACTGAACTTGAAACGCTAACTCTATTTCTCTCCCCACAGATGCTGCCAAACCTGCTGAACTTCTCCAGCAATTTCTGCTTTTTGCGTACTTAGATCCCCAGCATCCGCAGTTCTTAGTTTTACTTTAGCGTTTAATTTCCTACCATAGTTTGTCAAAGGCTGAGCTTGGCACAGCTGATCTGGGGTTGGATCTCCTCATCAATTGAGCATTTCAAAAGAACAAGAGGTGGCTACCAAGATGTGGGAATTGCTCAACATATTCCAGAGTATTCTTTCCAATGTCTGTGGGTGATGGAATATTTGACTGCTTAGGTCTGGTTTGATATGAGTTTTGCTTTTGGCTTCACTTTAGGACACCATTCTCGTACGTAAACTCGAAGAGATCAAGATGTGGGTTTTGCATTTGGCTCACTCCAGGACACCATTCTTGTACATGGAATCGGAGAGATGAAGATCTGAGTTGTGCATTTGGCATGTATGTAGAATTGAAGAGATCAAGAGCCCAGCCATGATCCTATTAAATGGTGGAGAAGGCTCAAAGGGGTTGAACAGCCGACTCCTGTTTATGTTTCTTATAGTCTTAAGAGGCAGCGTGCAAATAAGGTGCAGAATGGGCTGTGAAATCCTGCATGCTGTATCTCATGGGTCTTATCCTCACTTAGCTATAAAGTCTTTTAGGACAACCTACGCTCATGAAAAACACTTTAGAAATGCAAACCTTTCTTTATGATTTGATGACGCTGGCAAAATGTAGGTTTGGTCAAGAAGTGCAAGTGAAAACTTAAATGACAGTGCAATATATGATTACTTTTTTTTAAAATTCACTTTTCTTTTCAAAACAGTTATTGCTACCATGAGAAATTTAAACAGGAAAGGGCAGCTGGAAGCAGCTGCTGGAGATACTCTAAACAAGACGTTACACATCAGACAGCTTGATGTCTGCAGTGATGAGTCAGTGGCAGAATGCCTCAATAGTATTCAAGATAAAAGAGTTGATATACTAGGTAAGAAATTAAATTATAACGTCCTAAATTGTGACATGTCCAAATGCTTTACTCTTTAATTGCTTCATCAATAAGATCATTAGTGGTCATGGGTTTGGAAAGTGCAGTCTATGGCGTTTTGGTGAATTTTTGCTGTGTATCTTGCACTTGGTACACACCACTGCTCCTGAGCATCAATGGCGGAGGGAGTGGATGCTTGTGGATGTGGTGCCAAACAGCAGGCTGCTTTGTCCTGGATGGTGTCAAGTTTCATTAATGGGGCTACACTCATGGCTACAGTGAAGGGCAAAGAGCTAAGAGGTTGCTTCAATGTTTTAAAGGCACACAAGCAATCAGGTTCCCACAATAGCAGAGGATGGGGTGGATTACGATTTTTGTACAGGTGGTCTTTAGCTACATGCACACCTAGGCAGGCAGGGACAGTCTTTGCGATCCTCAATGCCAAGATGGGATTTTGTCTCCACAAGGACTGCAAGGTGGTCACTCCTACTAATATGGTCATGGACAGACACACCTGCCACAGGGAGATTGTTAAAGATGAGTTCAAGTGTATTTTTCCCTCTTGTTGGTTCCTTCATCCAGTCCAGCAGTAATGTCCTTTAGGACCCAACCAGTTTGGGCAGTAGTGCAATTACTAAGCCACTCCTGGTCCAAATCTCAAGCTAGACTACATTCTGAGACCTTTGCTACCCTTGGTGATTCCTTCAAGTTATACTCAACATGGAGGAGTTTTTTTTTTTAATTCATTCACAGGACAGGAGCATCACTGGCCAGGCAGCATTTATTGCCCGTCCCGAGGGCACTTAAGGGTCAACCACATTGCTGTGGGTCTGGATACACATGTAGGCCGGACCAGGTAAGGATGGCGGTTTCATAAGTGAAAAGGACTTTAGGGAACGAGATGGGTTTTTCCTGACAATTGACTATGGATTTGTGGTCATCATCAGACTCTTAATTCCAGATTTTTATTGAATTCAAATTTCATCTGCCATGGTGGGATTTGAACCCTGGCCTTCAGAACATTACCTGGGTCTCTGGATTAAGAGTTCAGCGATAATACCACTAGGCAGTCTCCTTCATCACCAGCTGGAGTGGTACACACTAATCAGCAGGAGGCTCCCTTGCTCCTGTTTGACTTGATGCCATGAGACCTCATGGAGCCCAGGGTCAATGTTGAGGGCTCCTGGGTAACTCCTTCCTGACTGTACACCACTGTGCGACCTCCTCTGCGGAGCCTGTCCTGTCCCAGCAGCAGGCACCGAGATGTCATGGACTGTAAGGTATGATTCTGTGAGAGTGACTGTCAGGCTGTTGCTCGGTTAGTCTCTGAGACAGCTCCGCAGAGCTTGGTAACAAGCGCTTTGCAAGGTCAACACAGCTGAATCCTTTATTTTGTTGGAGACTTTTTTACAGCTTGATACAACCATTTGAGAGGGCAATTAAAGAGTCAACTATGTTATAGCTGGAGTCGCAAGGCAGCGAGACCAGGGGAAGGAGAGCAGTTCTCCTTAGCGAACGATGTTGGTTTTAACATCAATCATAAGGTTTTCAATTCCAGACTTTTTGTAGAAGTCAACTTCCATCATCATGGGGTAATGGATCCCCAGATCACTACCTGGGTCTGGATCACTAGGTTCAACAAAATACCATGGTGCCATTGCCTTCCCCTTAAAGACTGTGAGAGTGCACAACCATAGAAAGAGATGAGGCCTCCTCAACGAGTGAGTATGAAGTGCAGAGTGCAAGGAAGTAGTTAGTAGCTCGAGAGGATAAGGTGGGTGTGAGCCTGGTAATTGACATCATGCATGTGATACTGAGGCTTACAGTCCACCAACCTTTAGTGAGCTCCATGTGCAGTGGCACAGTTCGATTGAGAGGGAGGTCACAAAGAGAAAATGGCACCATTTACGCCTGCAAAGCACATCATCGGCATTTTGCAGGATTGCTTGCCATCCCTTTAAGGCAGGACCATCAGCACTGAGGAGGGCTGCTATCCATGTTTAGGCTGATGGGCCTCTCCTTTTGATGTGGTCAGATTGGAAGGTAATGGACCTTCTCCCCACTCTATGCCCGCTCAGCAGTATCTAGGGAACACAATCGGTGAACCTGGGAGCAATCCCTGATTTCTTAGGGGAAGCATTTCTGTTCTTCTGACACTGGCCATCACAGGCTGAGGGGAAGCTCTGAGCCTGCAGCATTTGAAGTGATGTCCCGATTTCTTCCAAATATGCGGCCAGGCCTTTCAAACCAAAGGAGCACAAACATCCAGCCTACTTGCCACACAATATGTCGTACACATCTCACCTCCCTAAGTAATGCACTGAAAACCACATGACAATGTGAGGTAACTCACCCTACACATTGGGCGAAATGAATCCATTCAACACATTCACCATCAGAGTTTAATTTCTAAAGGGAAAATTCTACTCATTCTCTGGTTTCTTTAACTTCAATTACCCAGCCAATTCTTTAACAATCAGCTTTCTTAGATCCTGGATTTTATAATGACCTCTATTTTTCTCTAAAAAATTATTCTTAATCAGTTGTTCAAAGCACTAAGAGGTATTTAAGGTAAGGGGTAGAGGTTTGAGGGAATGTGAGGAAATATCTTTTCATCCAGGGGTCGTTTGGAATCTGGAACTCACTGCCTACAAGGGTGATAGAGGCACTAACCCTAATAAACATTGAAGTATTTAGATGTGCATTTGCGATGCCAATGTATACAAGACTAGGGGCCAAATGCTAGATAATGGGATGAGAATAGTTCATTGGTCACTTTTGACTAGCACAGACCTGATGGGCTGGAGTACCTTTTTCTGTGCGGTACACCTCTATGAGGCAAATCTGCACTCTCTACAAAGTACTGAGGCATTAAAGCTACTTCTGTTAATTCCCCAATGAACACAGCAGACCTAATTGCAAAATCTTCTTTATTTAAGTTCTGAAAAGCTCCAATAGACCGTTTTCAAAGCCTAATCCAGATCATTCCTGGCCAAACTCGAGTTTTGTGCGATCCGTGTGAAGACCAACGAGCAATAAAAACCAAAGTGGTCGAATTCACGCAATGAGGCAAGATTTCACTTATCATACATTTTACTGAAAGTGAAATAACTCTATAGAAACTGGTATCCAGTCACCAAGTCACCATTTATTTACACATAATTGTTCTTGACTATAGTATTGCCTCATTCAGTCAGACACCAGATTGTTAGTAACTCTGGCACTCACCTTTTCTATATGTCAGCCAGGGCTCCCTGATTGGACCAGATAAACAGCCACAATCAGGGTCCTGAAGAAGGGTAATACCCAAAACGTTGACTGCCCCTTTCCTCCAGATGCTGCCTGGCCTGCTGTGTTCTTCCAGCCTCCTGTTTGTCTACCTTGGATTCGAGCGTCTGCAGTTTGTTTTTTGTCTCTAACTCACATTCTGTAACGTCCAGCTGGCAGATTTCATTACAATCACTACAGAAACAAATCAAATCAAACATGAATTAACAGTCAATATAAACTATACATTTCACATAAAACAAAAAATATAACAAAGATTGACCACATGAATTGATTAATTGAACTTATTTCAACCAAAAAGCTCTGAACTTTCTTAGTTAGAAGTGCAGACACTTCATTTGACATTTTCACCTGATAGCTGCTCCCTCCCAACACAGGTTTCAATGTAATGGTCTTCAACAAAAAAGCAGACTTATACAAAATTCCCTCAGTTCCATTCATGGAGTCTTGATGGGCATGGATGTCCTCAGAATGATTTTTATCTCAATCATTACTATTATTCCTGTGCCAGTCCATCAATTGGTTCCTTTAAAATAATTAAAACAGCAACAATCAACATTTTCTTTAAAATCTCCACTCCTACCCCCAGCCTCTGAGCCCTTGTTTCTCTAACTGCATTGCTGCCTTTTCTCCCTTTTCCTCCAGCCAATTGGGCAACAGCAATGCCACGGACCCATTTGTGCCAAATCAAACGCAAGCTTGTCCCTTTATTGCAAACCAGGCATTCCAACCTCAGAACTTGTCTTGGTATTATCTCGATCATGAGCACAATATAAACTGACACTCCCTACACAGTATTAAAGAATCGTAGAATCCCTACAGTGTGGAAACAGGCCCCTTGGCCCAACAAGTCCACACTGACCATCAGAGCATCCCACCCAGACCCATCCACCTATAACCCACCCCTGAACACTATGGGCAATTTAGTATGATCAATCCACCTAGCCTGCACATCTTTGGATTGTGGGAGGAAACTGGAGCACCCAGAGGAAACCCACACACACGGGAAGAATGTGCAAACTCCACACAGATAGTTGCCTGAGGCTGGAACTGAACCTGGGTCCCTGGCACTGTGAGGCAGCAGTGCTAACCACTGAGCCACCGTGCCACCCCATTTTTTGTTCACTTCAAGCACTATACATTTTTCATTCACTTGTGGGATGTCAATGTTGCTGGCTGGGCCTTGAGAAGGTAGTGGTGAGCTGCCTTCCTGAACCGCTGCAGTCCATGTACTGTAGGTATACTCCCATGACCCTTCGGAAGGGAGTTCCAGGATTTTGACCCAGCAACAGTTAAGGAACAACAATATATTTCCAAGTCAGGATGGTCAGTGGCTCGGAGGGGAACTTGCAAGTGGTGGTGTTCCCATGTATCTGCTGCCCTTGTCCCTCTAAATAGAAGTGGTTATGGTTTGATGTTGCTGAGCTATGGCAAATTTCTGCAGTGCATCTTGTAGATGGTACACACTGTTGCTACTGAGCGTTAATGGTGAAGGGAATAGATTTTTGTGGATGTGGTCCTAACCAGTGGGCAGCTTTGTCCTGGATTGTTTTGAGCTTCTTGAGTGTTGTTGGAGCTATGCTTAACCAGCCAAGTGGGGAATATTCCATCACACTCCTGACTTGTGCCTTGTAGATGGTGGAGAGGAGGTGAGTTACTCACTTGAGGATTCCTAACCTCAAACCTGCTCTTGTAAGCATTGTGTTTACAATTGTAAATCCAATTGAGTTTATAGCCAATGGTGAATCCCCAGGATGTCAATGATGGTATTGCCATTGAATGTCAAGGGATGATGGTTAAGTTGTCTATTCTTGGGTATGGTTATTACCTGACATTTGTATGGCATGAATGCTACATCATCTGAAATCATTGGTCTGTTCGCTCAAATGCATGTTCATTTGCCTTTTATGATAAAACTGAGCATTTCAAAGCCTTCTTTCATGTCTTATAAATTTTCCCAGTAAATAATGCAGGTATTGGAAAGATTGGCCCAATAGAAAGTCTCAGCATCCAGGAAATGAAGAGTATATTCGACACAAACTTTTTTGGAGCTGTTCGGATGATCAAGGCTGTGCTGCCAGACATGAAGCAGAGAAAGAGTGGGCATATTGTTATGATGAGCAGTGTGATGGGACTCCAAGGTACCACAACACCTTCAGTTCAATTCATAAATAATTTTTGTTTCAAAGTATACTGAATATTCTAAAGTAAATTTGGGTCATCTGTGCAGGTTTAAAGAGCTGTGCTTGGTTGTTTAATGCGATATCAAAATAACATGCTTTCTGCAAGGGGCTTACTCCTACCTTCTATGTTTCCATATTAGAAATAAAATATGGTGAGATTTACAATGCCGGGCAAAGTTATAGGTATTAAGAGATGAACGAGGTGCAGTTGCTGGAGAGTTTGATAGAATAGTGTAAAGATTAAATATATATTTTGTCCCTTTTTTATTCTCCATGGCATGTGATCTTCACTAGCCAGGTCAGCATTAATTGCCCATCCCTAACTTTTTTTATTCAATTGTGGGACAGGGGTGTCCCTGGCTCAGCCAACATTTATTGTCCATCCCTAGATGCCCTTGAGAAGAGTCAGAGTTGTAGAAGGTGGTGATGAGCTGCCTTCCTGAACCGCTGCAGTCCAAGTGCTGTAGGTGCATTCACAATGCCCTTAGGGAGGGAATTCTAGGATTTTGAGCCAGAGACACTAAAGGAACGTTGATATATTTCCAAGAGCGGATGGTGCTCTATTGAAGAACATCAGCCAGAAAATTAAACAGCCTCAAAAATCAAAATATTTTGGTTTCTGTGACCTTTCTGCAATGTGACTCAAATCTACACAATTCTGTTTGCAACCTATACATGCAACTACCTAAACAAAAGTTCCCAGGGAAGATTGAGACAAGGATCCATTAAGGCCCAATCACCAATTCTGTGCCTTCACACTGCTGGGGGAAAAGAGGTACTCCGTCAATATTGTGGAAATCAGGGAAACTTGAGGCAATGTAATAGAATAGAATGAGGGGAGGTGATGGCCGAGTGGTATTATCACTGGACTGTTAATCCAGAGACCCAGATAATGTTCTGTGAACCAGGATTCGAATCCTGCCATGGCAGATGGTGGAATTTGAATTCAATAAAATATCTGGAATTCACAATCTAATGATGACCATGAATCCATTGTTGATTATTAGGAAAAACCCATCTAATTCACTAATGTCCTTTAGGAAAGGAAACTGCCATCCTTACCTGGTCTGGCCTACACATAATTCCAGACCCACAGCAATGTGGTTGACTCTTAACTGCCCTCTGGACAATAAATGCTGCCTAGTCAGCAACACCCTCATCCCATTAATGAATGAAAAAAAACAGAATAGCAACATCCTTGCCTTTCCATTTGCAATCTGAGCATTAACAAGCACATAGAAGCGGTCAGAAATTTGAACACCATATTTTACTCTTCGTAGCCGTGATTATTTTGCAAACTTTAAAGTTCTTTCAACGCCTTGAAATTGTAATTTTAAATGTGTTAGCACATCCTCTTTTATTTCCAAAGTCAGAATAAGTTGCAAAATATATAAACTGAGAGTGGACAAGCCCTCTTGGCATTTCCACATTGATCCTAGTAATTTAGAGTCACCTTAACAACAAAATGATCAGCTGAGCTAATCCCAACTGAACTTTATCAGTTAGGTGGCTAGGAAAAGATAACTGTCTCACATCAGTTTGAGGAATTATCAATATCAATCCAAGAAGGATGAAGGAGAATTATCCACATTTTTCTCATTGATAAAACTGAACTAAATCATGGCTGAATAGAAACAATTTACTATGAAGATCCAAGTAAATTACTGATGTCTAGTCAGCAAATTCTAGTAATGCAAAAAAAAAGTGGACCCTTCTAGACTGGGAATTTAATATTGCAGCTTAGAAACGACAGTAGGACATACGAGAGGAGGTGACCCAGTGTGGAACTGGAGGAGCACAGCAGATCAGGCAGCATCAGAGGAGCAGGAAAAGTTGACATTTTGGGTCGGGACCCTTCTTCAGAAAATGGCCCGAAACGTCAACTTTCTTGCTCCTCTGATGCTGCTTGGCCGGCTGTGCTCCTCAGCTCCACACTGTGTTGTCTCTGACTCCAGCATCAGCAGTTCTTACTATCTCTATATGAAAGGAGGAGTACTTTTACCGATCAAGAGTAACAAAGGCAATAGGAGAAAAGGATCCAGCTATCAACAAGATAAAATTGGAATCAATATGTATAGAATGAAATATGACAAAAGACACTAATAGTTGACCATCTCCAATAAGAGACAATTTAACCATCGTTTGTGATATTCGATGGCGTTATCATCATTGAATCCCCCACTATCTACATCCAGGGAATTACCACTGACCAGAAACTGAATTTAACTAACCATGTAGGAGCAACACAGAACTTTAATTGTGGATGCCAGAACATACACAAAACCAAAAATCTTAATCTCAAAACATGATTCTTTCTTTTGCTCAGGAGTTGTATTCAATGATGTCTATGCTGCCTCTAAGTTTGCCATGGAAGGATTTTGTGAAAGTCTTGTGGTCCAGCTTCTTAAGTTCAATATATAGTAAGTAAATATATTTACTTGGGTACAACAATAAACCAGGTCAGTTGCAGACATGTTCTTGTTTGCATCAAGATGAGGAAGTGACGAGGTTAAGGATGGTCATATACATTGTTATGTTCAAACAACAATTTGTCACAGGTTAACAGTCAATGTCTTTGATTTCTGAAATTTGAGGTACACTGAGCAGAGAGAAAGGCATAATTAAACCTACACCATCTTTTGGTTCTTAAAGGTTTGCTGGTACCCTGGGAGCATGTTGCACATCTCTAATTTGTAGACATCAAGCCAGACATAAAAGATAAATGGGATTTAAAGAGCAAGAACAAAAAAAAAGCCAAATACCATACAAATAAAAGTTTTAAAAGTCAGTCCAATCAGTAGAATAAGTCTATGAACAATAAACTACTTCCTAATTGAGTTCATAGAGTGGATTCTCCTCTTAGGAAAGAGTCTGTCCATTGCAAATCCCACTCCACAACCTCCTCCATCCCTGCATTGCATTCTGACTCCAGTATGCTGCATATCTCCTTACAGCTACAATGCTTCATTCCACCACTGGTTCAGAATGATCTCCATTGCCAGTCTCTGGAACCCCTTCCCCAAACCCTTGAAACATATGATCTATTAAAGAACACCCAAATTCTGTATTATCAAATGCATTTTACTGTTCTTTATAGTGTTTCAATGATAGAACCTGGTCCAGTAAACACGGAATTTGAAATGAAACTCATGGAAGAAGTGTCACATTCCACATTTCCAGGAACAGACTCAGAGACAGTCCAGTATTTTAAAGATATCTACCTCCCGGCATCACATGACATCTTTGCCACAATGGGACAGACTCCAGATACAATTGCTAAGGTAATCTGCATTGATCTTTTTTAATATATAATTATTCATTCGTGGAATGTAGGCATCTTTGCCAAGGCCAGCATGTATTATCCATCCCTAATTTCTCTTGAAGTGAATGACTTGTTAGACCGTTTCAGAGAGCAGTCATGTCAACCACATTGCTGTGGGTCCACAGTTGCATATTGGCCAGACAAGGAAGGACACCAGATCTACTTCCCTTAAAGGCATCAGTGAACCATTTGGGTTTTTATGACAATGAATGAGAGTTACTTGGTTGCCAATAGGCTTTTCATTCCAAATGATTACAGACGTCAAATTCTACTGTGGTGAGATTCGAAACCTAGTCCCAGAATAACTCCGCAAAAAATTCTGGATTACCAATACCACTGTGCCCCTGCACCCCCATAAACCACAAGCTCAAATTACACCAAATAAAAATTACCCAAGACATATTAAGCAAATGATAGTTTCAAGTTTTCATATGACACTTCCCCTGATTATTTCAATACTGGCATTAATCAATTTATATTAAATTTGTCTCCACTTACACCAAAGGTAGAAGAGAACTATACAACCATTTTGTACAAGCATTCTTTTATGGTGGTTGGCTAGCTCAGTTGGCTGGATGGCTGGTTTACAATACAGAGTGATACCAACATCATGAGTTCAATTCTTGCCCTAGTGGAGGTTACTAGGAAAGATTTTCCTCAACACTCTCCCATTACCTGAGGGTGCAGTGACCCTTAGGTTAAATCACCACCAGTCATCTCTCTGTCTCAAATAACAGAGTGGGACCCTGCTGACTTCACCTTTACTTAATGCTCAAACTATTAACAATAACTGTTTTAAATTATACAAAACTATAAATTAACTGCCTGCATAAAATCAAATGCAACATCTTACTTCCTACTACCCCCCATTTTAATAATAAACATTAGTTTCCCATTGTAAATTCTTAAGCCCATTATAATAGACGTTAGCTATGTAAACCTGTCTCACACTGTAACCACACCCACCACCCAAAGGCAATGAACTTCTCTCTCTTCCCTGATTGCATTGACACACATATGGGTTAAATGGCCATGAACCTTGAGTTGTTGAGATTTCTTTTGTTCATTTGTGGGATGTGGGCATCGTTATCTGGGCCAGCATTTATTGCCCGTCCCTAGTTGCCCCTTGAAAAGGTGGTGGTGAGCTGCTTTCTTGAACCGTTGCAGTCCACCTATTGTAGGTCATCCCACAATGCCCTTAGGAAGGGAATTCCAGGATTTTGACGCAGTGATACAGTGAAGGAATGGCGATATAATTCCGAGTCAGGGTAGTGAGTGACTTGGAGGGGAACTTGGAGCTGGTGGTGTTCCCATATGTTTGATGCTCTTGTCCTTCTAGATGGAAGTGGTCATGGGTTTGGAAGGTGCTGTCTGAGGATCTTTGGTGAACTTCTGCAGTGCGTCTTGTAGATGGTACACACTGCTGTTACTGAGCGTCGGTGGTAGAGGGAGTGGATGCTTGTGGATGTGGTGCCAATTAAACAGGTGCGGTTTTGTCCTGAATGGTGTCAATCTTCTCGCGTGTTGTTGGGGCTGCACTCATCCAGGCAAGTGGGGAGCATTCCATCACACTCCTGACTTGTGCCTTGTAGATGGTGGACAGGCTTTGGAGAGTCAGGAGAGGAGTTACTCGCTGCAGTATTCCTAGCCCCTGACTTGCTCTTGTCGCCACTGCATTTATGTGGTGAGTCCAGTTGAGTTCCTGATCAATGATAACTCCCATGATGCTGATAGCGGGGGACATAGTGATGGTAATACGATTGGATGTCAAGGGTTAGTGGTTATATTGTCTCTTATTGGGGATGGTCATAGCCTAGCATTTGTGTGGCGCAAATGTCACTTCCCACTTGTCAGCCCAAGCCTGGATATTGTCCAAATCTTGTTGCATTTGAACATGGACTGCTTCAGTATCTGAGGGGTCATGAATGGTGCTGAACATTGTGTGATCATCGGCAAACATCCCCACTTCTGACCTTATGATGGAGGGAAGGTCATTGATGAAGCAGCTGAAGATGGTTGGGCCTAGGACACTACCCTGAGGAACTCCTGCAGAGATATCCAGGAGCTGAGATGACTGACCTCCTACAACCATGACCATCTTCCTGTGTATCAGGTATGACTCCAACTACCAGCGAATTTGCCCTCTGATATCGATTGATTCCATTTTTGCTAGGGTTCCTCAATGCCACACTCGGTTGAATGTAGCCTTGATATCAAGGGCTGTCACTCTCACCTCACCTCTGGAATTCAGCTCTTTCGTCCATGTTTGAACCGAGGCTGTAATGAGGTCAGGAGCTGAGTGGCCCTGGCGGAACCCAAACTGGGCGTCACTGAGCAGGTTATTGCTGAGCAGGTGCTGCTTGATAGCACTGGTGATAACACCTTCCATCACTTTACTGATGATCAAGGGGAGACTGATGGGGCGGTAATTGGCCAGGTTGGATTTGTCCTGCTTTTAATGTACAGGACATACATGGGCAATTTTCCACATTGTTGGGTAGATACCAGTGTTGTAACTGAACTGGAACAGCTTGGCTAGGGGAGCGGCAAGTCCTGGAGCACAAGTCTTCGGTACCATTGCTGGAATGTTGTCAGGGCCCATAGCCTTTGCAGTATCCAGTGTCTCAAATTGTTGATATCACATGGAGTGAAATCGAATTGGCTGAAGACTGGAATGAATGACCGGTTTCCACACCGTACAATTTATGCAAAGCTGTGTAACCTCCAAGACTATAGAGGAATTCTATTTCAATAAATGGTACATTCTGGTTAATGGGGTCAACAATTTACTGTAAACCACTGTCTGTGTGGCCAGCACCATGACCAGCACAGCTAGTATCTCTGTACAGAGGTCTGTATTATCAACCTGTGGGATTGAAGAGCAAACAGGTGTCATTTACTGTCTGGGCAGCAAATCCCTACTGCCTCTGAGAAACTGGATAAACGCATCAATAAGCGAGTGATGATCAATGGATAGATGGCTTTTGCTTTTCCTTCAATCACTAGGAACAAGGAGTAGCGTGCAACCCATTTTACACCTCTCCGTTCCATCCCATGAGTTTTCTGCCTCATGGTTGGTCTCTGGTTCACTGTCTGCCGATGCTTCATCCTGATCTGTTTAAGTGACAGCTTTTATTTGTGGAGTAAGAACAGAAAGTGCTGGAGAAACTCAGCGAGCCTGGCAACATCTGCAGAGAAACAAACAGAGTTAACGTTTCGAGTCCAATCTGAGTTGTTTGTCATTGTCTTTCACTCACAGCAGGAGAAGGAGGAGGCAGGTCCTGAGTCTACCTCAGCTAGAACAAGAATTGAACTTGCACTACTCCAAAGTACATACCAGCCAACTGAGTTGACTGGCCTTTATTTTGCACCTCTACTAAAATTGAAGCAAACACTTGCAAAAGATTTATGAAAACAAAAGGGAAAAATGGAACATCTGGCCTCTTGTCTTTGTAATTTCCTCCAGCAACCCCTCCCCACTCCAGTAAAGCACAACTACTCATCTAATTCTGAACTCTTCAACCACAATTTCAAATCACTTCACCATTGTGCTTTCAGCCGGCCTGAGATCTCGTCTCTGGAATAACCTCACTAAATCTCTATAAACCCTTTTGAAGACACACCTTAACACCCATATCTTATGACCAAAAGCTTTTATCCTAATGTGGACCCCAGTCAGATAGTTATCCTATGCACTGTCTTGGATTTTTTTTTTTAAATCATGTCAAAGGAGCTATGTAAATGCAGATTGTTATTGTTCACTAATAAACAATCTGACTGAATGGTGGTTTCATAGCAGATACTGAGGATGATGACAAATTTAAACTGTCTCCAAACTGAAAATTCCTACAAACAAGAATACAAGTGATTTTTGATATAAATGATCATCAGTTTACACTTCACCAATTGTATTTCTTACTTTTCTCAAGGCAACCGTCAAAGTGATAAAAATGGAACGGCCAGTATTTCGTTACCAAACCAATACACTTTATACACCACTGACTGCAATGAAGTACGCTGACAATACAGGAAATATGTCAATCCGAATGTTTTACAACTTACTTTTTAATTATGGAACTTTCTTTAAAATAAGTTTAAACTGCCTCAGAATTATAACATGCAACTGCTTCCGCAGTGGTGCTGTTTCACCAAACTGAATGGGATTATGAAGAATCGGCCTTTCCTGGAGCCAAACTGTTATTTATAGCAGTGTTAGCCATTGCATTTCAATGCCCAAGCCTCAGAAATTTTCAAGTACGCAAAGCAACAAAGTTGTTTTGGATAGAATTTAAAAATCAAACACGTGCAGAGAAGACAAGATAATAATAGATAAGGCAAGACAACAATAGATAAAAATAATAAACTAATAAAAATAGACGAGATGTTGAATTATGTTCTAGGCGTCCTGGACCAAGATCCTTCAGTCATGGATAATGACATTAAATGGTTTTCTGAAAACTCTGAAGGACTTTAATAAACATATGTAGTTGAAATTACAAATTTCCTAAAACATACCATTATATTTCTCACAGATTGCAATATTCCAATTACAGTACTATATATTCATTAATTTGACGACCAATTTTCATTATTTTCAAGTGATTCGCTATCACAGTTGGCCTAACTATTCTACATGAGTTAATTATAAAAATTTATTCAAACAGAAGAATTTAGACCAAATGGGGATACAGTTCAGTTGCACTGGAACATTATCATCTCTTTCAATTAGCTACAAGCAAAAGTAACTCAATTTGAGACTCTTCCAAGTATTAGCCTTAACCCACAAGTCCAACAACCTAGACTAAGCATTCCACCAATGGCCAGGACAGGCTCCACTGCAGGGATGAGTACTGAAGCTAACAGGCAGATGTACCCTCTCCCCCATAATCCTATTAATAGCCTCAGAAGCATTGATCAGAACAAAGAAACTGGCTTTAAAAAGCCAGTTCAGCAGGGATTGACTCTCAGTTCAGTCGCAGGAACACTGTCCATATTCACGAGAGGGTACATAACCAAACAAACAGCACAAGATCATCAACCAGAAGAACCACCTGAAGTGATTAGTCCCGGAAAGAATGAAGTCTGGCAAGGAGAAGGTGGAGGTTTCAAAATTCAGAGTGTCAATCAGGAGATTACAGAGTTATACAATTGTTACATTGCGGTGTTTGGTCCACAGGTTCTGTTACCTGGTGCCAATCTCTAGTCTTTTCCCTAAATCTCCGAACACCATTTCTATCCAAATATTCATCCAATATCCTCTTGGGTGTCTGTCAGCTGAAGATATAATGAGGATAATCAATTATCTGTCAATTGGATACACATCAGTATTGCTGATAAAGTTCCATTGTACTGTGAGATAGTAAGAACTGCTGATGCTGGAGTCTGAGAT